CTTTGTGATTTTTAGGTCCTAAATACATATCTAATGTAAAACAAGATGAGGGGACTGAGGAGAGAATAAGACCTTTACTAGATGTTTTACATGATTCTAGCCGCATGGTTCCTAATGTAGTTGGAGAAACTTGTTTTTTGATACATTATCTTCTTTGGTAATTGTGCTCCTCAATTTATAATTGTGTTGCTTCTTTAGACAATGTTGAGTACTGTGCTTGGCTTCTCTAGAATATAAACACAAACCCTCTTGGCAACGTCGAGTCTTTTCTTGTTCTATGAGAGTTTTAAAACATATCGTATCAATTTGCATTGATTCCGACCTTGATGAATACTATTCAAAAAACTTTGAAGCTTCCGCTGTCATGATGTGACATGGATAACAAGTGAAAGGGTAAAAAAAATATCATGTTTTGAGGATCTCACTTCAAAAATATTGTAGCAAATTATCTTGGAAAAATAGATATTAGTCAAAGGGTAGAAAAATTAAAGGTGCTAATACTGCCTTTTTACAAATTATGCTTCTATTTACTTTGTAAGGCCATAAATAAGACAAAACAAGGTAGATTAGAAAAATAAAGGATGTAGGCATATGTAGGGAGGATTTAGGAGTGCAAAGTAGTAAAAATTACCTCAAGAAGACGAAAGTTGATACCCGAATTGGACCGGTTATGAACTTAGGTCGAAATCAGACCCCAAGGCACAAAACCATGCTCTGACGGCGACTCAAGGACTCTTTGGCAGATTGGAGAGTGGGATTTGATAGAAGATTAGATAGGATTTCTATAGGCATTGATTTTGGGTGATTTGGAGTTGATATGACTTTGTAAGAGCTTTGCAAAGTCAAGGATTGTTTCGGAAGACTTGGGTTTTAAAAAATAAAATAGGGTTTACATTTTGGATGATTTCAAGAGTTTTGTAATAGATCTACCGGTGAAATTTTGTAGGTTTATGGTTATAGTTGTGTTTAATATGTATTATGAATTTGAGATTGATCTAACGGTTGAATTGAGGAATATTGAGGTTTAAGTGGGTCAAGATCTCAGAAAGTAGAATTTTAAGTTCAATAGGAATTTTTGAGATTTCTTGCAATCTATTGGTTGGATTGGAGTGAAACTTATGTGAGAGGATATTAAACTTGTTTTTCTATGTGTATGAGGATTTTGAGATCAATCGAATAGTACAAAAGAGAGATATTGGCTCTAGAAGATTGGCATCAAGATTGGAGAAGGAGGCCGGCCAATATCCGAGCATATTTTTGAAGATATCGTCAATTTGGTAACTCCGATCCTTATCAATTTTTTTGTACTTGTTTTTAACTTATTTGTTTTAGAAGTATGAAAAATTTGAGTTAAGATCAACGGTTTATTCATTAGTTATTGAAGTTTAAATCTGTTATAGGAATTATTAGGATTTGGTTTAGGATTTGTTTAGGATTTGATTTGGGATTTAGGATTTGGATTAGGGTTTGATTTAGGATTTAGGGTTTCATTAGGATTTTATTTAGGGTTTATGGTTTGGATTAGGATTTGGTTTAGGGTTTAGAATTTGGATAGGATTTGATTTAGGGTTTAGGATTTGGATTAGGATTTGGTTAGGGTTTGATTTAGGGTTTAGGATTTGGTTTAGGGTTTGATTTGGATTTGGTTTAGGATTTGGTTGGAGTTTGATTTAGGATTTAGGATTTTATTAGGATTTAAGATTCAATTAGTTTTGGCCTAAAGTTTGAATGAAGTTCAATAGGATTTTAACTAGAATTAAATTAAGATTGAATTGAGATGTATTTGAATGACATTTGTGCTCTTTCTAATGTTTCTTTAAAAATTCCTATTGTTTATTTGAAATTTCTTTGAGGTTTTTTTAAATTTGATTAAACTTGCTTAGTATTATTATAATCTAATTAAAGCATTGTTAGTATTCTATTAGAATTAGGATTTTGTTATTGCAATTTCCATTCTTCCTTCTACAGCCAGGTGCCCGGAGCATTCTCATGCAAGACTTCACGTATTACGATGCCGCCATTAATTGACTTGTTCATCTCCTGCCAAGTCTTTATTCTTAATGCCTTTTAAATAATTGATTGTTACATGCAATGGCTCAAGCAATAAATTGTTCCAAAAATACTATTTTTGATATTATTAATAACCAATATTTGACACTATCCTTTAATCTATATCAAAATTTATTGATGAGTGCTTTGTCATTCCAATCCACATTGCAAGTAAGGTTTTAGAATTCAACAATATATGTGGTAGCTGATCATGATCCTTGTCGTAAAGATAAAAGTTTGGTCTGTGCTACTCATTCTCGATTACTTTCTTTGAATGTTATCGTCAACACTTTTAGAAATGAATTCAAATCATAAAGGAGTCGCAAATCTTTTTCCATTAAAGGTGCAAACCAAGAAAAAACACTTCATGATAGAAGTGCACCTATGAATCCAACTTAAGTAAATCCATTAGGATATTGAAAAAGTACAATCATAGGTAAAGTGCGACTTGTTGCAAAAATCCTCAAAATTTTGATCTTGTTTGATCATTCTTATAAATAATACTAATCTTTATCCTTGTCATATTTGTAGAATCAAAATTCCGTGGATTTGGTTGTGAGGTTGATTTACTTGCTTCTTTCAATTGTACAACTTTTTGCTGCAGACTCTCAACTTCTTCCATAGGTGTAGGTATAGTACCTCCATGATTCACCTTAGAAATACGTGAAATTTTCACTCTAAGAGTATTGATAAGCTCATGAAGATCTACAATAGTTGCAAATCTATTCTCACTTCTGCTAGATGTAGCGTCCACAATCTTTCCTTCCATAGGGAACTCAAACAAATCCAAAACGTTAAATTAGAGGAGGGTAATCCACAATTTCTAATAAAATTTTTGACAAAGAGAGATAATCCACTTTTTTTAAGAAAAGATCAATGTTAGAAAATAAGATTTTTTTTGTTTAAAAGGTAGGTAGTCCAAAATCTTCAAAACACAACAATAGAAGTGGAATAATCTACTCACTTCTAAAATAAGATAAAAAATAGTTGCTAGCACTCTTGTCAAACTATCAAGGACATGAATCTTGAAGAAAGAGACTCCTCGATACACTCTTGTATCACTGAAGAGAACTAGAAAGTCACTTAAAAGGTAATATAATATTAACTATAATGGCTTTACAAAAAACAAGAAGACTAGAAAGTCTTGAAACAAGAGTAAGGACTAGAACGGTGTTGACAAGAGTGAAGAAGGCTTCATTCTTACCTCCATATATACTCTTAACTAGGAACTAGATGGTGATGTCCTATATGACCTTCAAAACATGTTGACTTTGCTGGCCACATGTCTTAACTTGCAAGGCAAGTTATCTATATATGTGCCACATGGTTAGCTTGTTCCACAAGCTACCAACATGTAGTTAACTTATTAGCCAAGTTTTTGACCTACAAATACATGTAAAGTCAAAACCGCATCTATAAAACTTCTAGGAAGCTTCATTATAAGACTTTATGAAATTAATCTATATTTATCTACTTGTACTTAATTATATAAGTAATTATTGAAGTAAATGTTTGTATCCATAATAGGTAATCACTTTCTTTTATTCATATATATAATTCTTTTATAATCTTTGATTTTTTTTGTTAATACTATGTATTCTTTTTTTCCATCTAATTAATTAATTTTGATTAGGTGTAAAAAAATGATATATATAAAAATGTGTTGTATGTATGTATACATCTATAGTTGCATGGTTTGATTTCTTGTAGTACTTTAAGCTTTTTATAGTCATGTATTGACTTATAGTTCATATATATATATATATATATATATATACATACATATTATTTCTCTCTTACATCAAGTGATATTTCATTATTTTTTATAAATTTTTTGTTATGTACTTAAATAATTTAGTCAACTAAAATTAGATTATATTTTATTGACATTTTATTAATTTTATATTTTTAAACTTAATATATTTTACATGGTTATAATTGTTAGATATTAGAATATGAACATTTCAACATTATAAAAAAATTAAATATTTATAATTATAAATTTAAAAAAATTATAATTTACAAATATCACATTATATTACAAAAGTATTTTAGATTATTTACAAAGAGCCAATAGTAATATTCTAGTTAAAAATTAATTTGGTAAATTCACATACACAAAATTTATATAATATAATAATATTATTTTCTTAAACATTTATTAAAGAAATTTTTATGATCTATGAATTATCTGAAACAATTAAAGTTAGTGTAAATGTTTTGTATATATATATATATATATATATTTGTAATATATTATTTACTTAATAAATCAAAAAAATATTGAAATTGTATTAAATAAAATGTACAAGCTTACACTCTAAAGTTGTTGAAAGTTGTGCAAGAATCAAATCTGAACAAAATATTTTTCTTATTGATAAATAAATATCCAAATGAAATCTAAACAACATAATTACAATATTACCTAATCTTTATATTAAAGTTGTTAAAAAAAAAATACTACCCAATAGAATAGTAGAAGTTTGTAAAAGAGGAAATCACCCTTGGAAAAAAAAATGATTAGAGGATGTAACAAGTAAAGTGAGCATGACATGTTTGGAAGAACCAAAAAATGCAACATTTTCCAAAGAAAGAAAGAAAGAAATCATCCCTTAAAAAGTCTTTAAAACTTTTTTCTCTATAAAAACCACTGCCGTAGCCTACTCGTGACCACTATTAAATACTAAAGTTCAGAAAATCAAAAAGAGTCTAACATAGGCATCACTAAAAAAAAGATTAAGTAGCATGTGTTTTCACTTTCAGTGCCACCCCTTTATTGTCTTCATCTCATCTATAGTAAAAGATAAAGCTAAGTTATGCGAAGCTTCCTCGAAGCACCCGAGTTATCTCCAGTTGACTCGGGCGAAGTGGAAATAGTTTAGAAAACAAATGGCAGGAATAGTGAGTAAGCACCAATAAGATTATCACCCAATTTTAGGGTTTAGTGGGGTTGCATAGCTACTCGTGGCCACCGCGGGTCGGAAACGAGCGGCACGAGCAAGTGGGTGGTGGTGGAGTCGCAGCGAGAGAGAGAGACCAGTCTCGGGCAACTTCGCCGCGTCTGGCGTTCAATGACTTCCTTCATGCTCTCACTCTCGCTCTTACTCTCCTGCTAGTGGCGAGCTCGTGGTCGCGACGCTTGCTTTCTGCACATTTAGCTCGGTCGGGGCACGTAGCTCGCAGCGGAGAAGCTAGAGAGGTTTGGATCGTTCCTGGTGGAAAAGTTTCCGTTGCGTTGTATCGGCAAGAGTGTGGGTGAGGATTGTGGGGCGAGAGAAGAAAGTGTTGTTGGGGTGGGAGGGGGAGTCGCTGGTGGGATTGAGAGCGAGGTTACATCGTCATGGGGGACGCGAGACTTATCTATAGTTTTGTGGCGAGGGGGACCACTGTTCTGGCGGAGCATGCGATCTACGCCGGGAACTTCAGCCAGATTGCGGTGCAGTGCCTTCTGAAGTTGCCGGCCGGGACTAGCAAGCAGACGTACGTGATGGATCGTCACACGTTCAACTTTTTCGTTGAGAACGGGTTCACGTTTCTGGTCGTGGCCGAGGAGGCGCTCGGCCGCTTGATTCCGTTCGCGTTCTTGGAGCGCGTTAAGGATGACTTTAAGCATCATTACCAAGGAGGGAGGGCCGACCTCGCTGTGTCGCACAGCCTCGACGCTGAGTTCGGGCCCAAGCTGAAGGAGCACATGGATTTTTGCATGGAGAATCCGGAGGAGATTAAGAAGATCTCGCGAATCAAGTCTCAGGTTGCGGAGGTGAAAGGGATTATGATGGAGAATATTGACAAGGTGCTGGACCGCAGCGACAAGATAGACCTTCTGGTGGACAGGACGACCCACCTTCAATCAAGCGCTGCCGAATACCAACGTGCAGGGGTCAGGATTCGGCGTAGATTGTGGTGGCAACACTTTAGGCTCAAGTTACTTGTCCTGCTCCTGATTGTCGTTGTGGCCTTCATCATATACCTCTCAATCTGCCGAGGTTTCATATGCCACAATCCAGCAGTTCCCGGCACTCCGCCTGCGCCCGGCACTCCACCTGGTCCATTGTAAACTTTTAGTTAGGGGTAGTACTCTACCGAACTGGTTCTTTCACTCAACATTTTACGAAGTGTTACTTGCTCTGCTAGAAGCTTATGATACCGATCTTAACCTTGCAAGGATGTGTGAAACTGTAGAACTCTCTAAGAGTTTGCAGCTTAGTTTGGTATTCGATCACCCCAATTCATAGCCTCTTCTACAATCAGACGCCCATGGTAGCTAATAGAAAATTCCCCTCAGCTTCTCGCGAAAAAAACCAATCCTCGGAATAACTAGGACCGATCAAGATCAGCTGATTAGGGGCAGAACGATACAATCCGGTGTCGGCAGTTGTCAGTTCTCTTCAGCGACGTGGTCAGAAGTTGGTTGCAGCAGCAGCAGCCCTCGACATTGAATCCTTGGAGAAACAAATTGAGCGAAACAGTTTTAGGGTTAAAACAGATGCTCCGGCGGTGTAGAGTAGGGCTGGCGTTGAATCTGTCGATGCATCGAGCGATTCGAATCTTTGAAACAGTTCAACTGCAATTCACACTTCCGATGTTCTCGGCCGGAGGATTCTAGATGCTGGCATCGACGCCAAATGGACTGGATCTGGATCTGGACCTTTTAATGAATACATGTCTGTTTTATCTGCACAAAGTGGGTATTTTCTTCCACGATGGATCTCGTGTTGTATGGCTGGTTGTGCAACTTGGATTGCATGTTTGATTGTAGAGTTGTGGAGGTTGAACTGATCAGAGAAAAACCACTAAAAATTGTTGAATTGTTCAATTGATGTTATGCTATTTGCATTATTTTCCTTTCTTTTCTTTGTCTTTTTGAAAATATGGTATGCTAAATTTTATATTTCCTTTTCTATTTCAACATTCATTGAGTGCTTACTGATTTATCAGTACTTCGATTTATTTGGTACATGTGGTCACCAACATAATTTCAAAAATTCATATAATAGACTACAAAAATTTTGTGTGCATCAGTACATTGTATTCTGTATTATTTAGAAATTATGGAATACTTTACTGAGCTACCAACCAAAACACTAGCTATCACCTTAATAAGCAACTTATTAAGATTAAATTCTAAGTGGTGGTACCTAATCAAGGATTTGTTAATCTTTGAAACTCCTATTATGTTATTTCTCAAAAGGCTTTCAATCTTAATACCATTATCAACTTATAGTGTCTATTCTTTATTATTGTTTTTATAAGCACATCATGAAGTATTTCTTTAATAATATAATATTTTATACATATAAAACCATCTTCAATCTTTTCTCTTATAAAATAATATTGAATATCAATGTGCTTGGTCTTTGAATAATACTTTGAATTCTTGGCAAATATAAGTCATTCTTATTTAACACTTATAATTAGAGTTGATTACAATTCTACAAGTTTGATGTCTTCTAAAAATTGTCTAATCCAAATTGCTTCTATTGTTTAATAACTTACTACTATATATTCAATTTTTGTAATTGATCTTACAATAGTTGATTGACTATTGCAATTCTATGAAATAACTCCCATTCCATGATGAATACAGATCTCATTATAGATTATTTATGATTTGCATCTATAGCCTAATCTGCATTATTGTAATCTTGCAACTAATGTTCTTACCAACAAGGCACAATTTAAAGTCCTTTGTGTCTTTTAAGTACTTCATGATCATCAAAATTGTTATCTAATGCAAAAGTCTAACCTTAAATATGTATTGGCTTATAACACTTATATTAAAAATAAGATCTATTCTTGTGGCTACTATTGCATATATAAGTAAGCTCATTCTTGTCTTGTATAGAACACTTTGCATGTCACCTTGAACTAGTGCAAACTCTTCATTTGCAAAAAAATTATTTTTTCTTTTTCTTTTTAGTTACTTCATGATTAAGTTTTATTATAACAAACATCTATCATAAATTCCTTTATCTTAATGGATTCCAAGATCATGATGAGATAATTTTAAGATTTTAAGAAACTCATAAACAAAATCATAACAACATTCCTATTATTTAAGTATTTATATACAACTACAAGTTAGTTTGTAAGTGCCTTCATTTTTTTGATGTGTGTTATGAGGTCTCTACCTTCTTATATCTTACAAGTAAAGAACCTCTTTTTTATATAGATGATATTGAATAATTTCTTAGTCTCATAGATGTTACAAAAAAGGCTAAGTCTACAAGTGCATCCAAAATTGTTATATGCATATATAATTTTGTATATGATGCTTATATGTATTACGGACACACGATCACGGATATACATATTTATTCTAATAATTATCTATATGATTAAGTAGAAGTAGATAAAAATAGATAAAAATAGATTGATATCATAATATATTCTAAAAAAGCTTTCTAGAAGCTTCATAGACACGATTTTGACTTTATACGTGTTTATAGTTGACTTTTAGGTTAGAAACTTGGTCAATAAGTTAGCAAGGTGTCATATATATGGATAGCTTGTAGAATAAGCTAACTATGTCAGTTATGCATAGAAAACTTGCCTTGCAAATTAAGTTATGTAGCTTGTAAAATCAATACATATTACAAGTTTTATAGAACATCGCCTTGTAGTTCCTAGGTCGATAATATATATATATATATATATATATATATATATATATAGAAGCAAGAATAAAGCTTTCTTCACTCTTTCCAAGTCCTTTCTTATTCTAGTCTAGATTCAAGAGTCTTTAATTTTCTTATCTTTTGCCAAAAGTTTTTTTTTTTTTTTTTTTTTTTTTTTTTTTTTTGATTTTTTTAATATACATGTTTCTTTACTTCAATTATGTTATACTACTTTGAAAAAATTCTCACTTAATTATTTCTTTCATTGAATTCTTATCCTTAATAGATTGATAAGAATATACTTACAATATCAAAGTTTTGTCTTTTCTTAATTAAAAGTAGATTATTCATTTTTCTTGATAAGACATAAGCGTATTAGAAGTTGCAGATTACCCTCTTTTAAACTGATATTATTCTTAGTATTTTTTTTGTTCTTAAGTCCTCTCTTATATTTGTCTTGAGAAATATTAGATATATTATTTTTTTAAAGTATTATCATCATAAAATATCTTGAAATAAAAAGTGTAATGGCACAAATCCAAAAGAAATGGAGAAAATTAATACTTGGAATGTATTAATTCAATTTTCTACCATAAAGAATAACAAAAATAGCAAGGAGCAAAAATATAGAGATGATTGGATATTTGCACCAAATCATGTTCCTTCTCCTATAGTAGAATATCTTTCAAATATTAGAAAACTAAAAATTGTAATACCTAAGAAGTTTGTTGGCACAAGATCCAAGTTTTGAAGATTTATTAATCAAATATAACTTAAGATGGAACTTTAATTCCAAATCTATACAATTTCAAGATTAAAAATTACATTCATTAATATACTTCTTTGAAGTTTAGTATTATCATAGTTTTTATCTTTTTTTGAATGATGAAATCCAATATTAGATAATTTGAAGGCTTTTGTGGCAAAATTTTGATCCATGTATAGAAAAAATAATAAAATTTATATTACAACCAACAAGATCTATATTTTGTAACAAGATAATCAATTAATAATGTTATATATTTCATAATTTTAATAACTTGCAATTGATATCAAATGAAATAATGTTGCTTTCATTAGCCAATTTTTCTATGGATTATAATATGAGGTAAAAAAATTGATGCTCAATTTATTTGATCTTCAAACATTGAATTAAACAATTGATTTTGTTATGAAGTGTAACAATTAAATTTTTGAATTTCAATTTGAGAGTTGCACAAGTCATCTTTAACATTATTATAATTCAATGGCAACACCAAGGTTTCTTCAACACATACATTTGAAAGTAGAAGATATGCAAATTCATGCAATATATTTTAAACTTCTTATTGAGAAAGAAAAGACTTGTCATTGTGAAGGAGGATTGTACTTATATTATTAAGAACCTAAGTACATTAGTCAACTTTGTCCAAAGAAGCGATGCAACCATAAAATGAGGAGTATGGCTATTAAAGAAGATAGTATGTCAAAAAACAAGTTTGTCTAGCTACAATAGAGACCAAGTATTTGGAACCTTATACAACACCTAATAAAGGTCATATTCTCTTCTCAAAACACTCTTTATGTTTTAAAATAAATATTATTTTAAGACCTAAATATCACAAAGCCTTTATTTTATTAGTTTCATGAGTCTCAGTATGTTTTTTAGATAAAAAATTTGTTAAAATATATAATATATCTTTAATGAAGAAAACTAAATTTGTTCATATAAAAACCATAGATAGTCATCTATTCTCTTCAAGAAGTATTACTCATAAAAATACTTCCTATAGAAGTAACAAATAATAGTCAAAGTAGCCTTGTAGTATTTAATATGATTAAAATTTCTTTTAATCCAATGATTTTATATTTATCATGGTTAAAAAAATATAATCTTAAAATAGATTGAATTTCTTATAATCTTGATTTTTTTTAAATATTACTAAAAGTGTAATTAATCAAATAAAAAGTCATAAGTCTAGTACAACTAAATCTATATTTGTAGGTACAAGAGCTTTCTTTCAACCTACAAAAATAGGATTATCTTATGTCATTTTTGTTGCACTTATTTTTAATAGTAGAAAGACTTAAAATAACATTTTAAGCCAATATTAAGATTTTAAAGTTATATTTGAAAAAAAAATGTAAATACTCTTCTAAAACATCATTCCTATGATTATTAAATTGACCTTCAAGAAGTAGGTCAACTATCATTTGGACCAATCTACAATTTAATACAAAAAAAATTGGCTAAACTCAAGGAGTGTATTAAAAAATGTAGCCAAGAACTTTATATGCTATTCAAAATTTCTACCAAGAGCTGTAATTTTATTTATGATGAAAAGAAATAAATCATTTTTGATGTATATTGATTATTGAGGACTCAATAAAATCACTATCAAAAACATGTATCTACTACTTTTGATATCTAGACTTCTTTATTAGTTGAATCAAATTAAGATCTATATAAAAATAGATCTATGAGGAACATATAATCTTGTATGTATAAAAAAAAAGATAAATGAATGATTGCATTTTGAATTAGGTATGGACATTTCAAATACAACGTCATGACTTTTGGACTTATAAATGCACTTGCAGCTTTTTAACATCTAATAAATAATATCTTTTGAGAGTTTTTAGATGACTTTATTGTTTGTTATCTAGATGTTATCTTAATCTATTTTAAGAATATAGAAGAATATAAACTTTATATTCATTATATATTACAAAAACTAAGAGATGTGAGATTCTATACCAAGATAAAAAAGTATGTATTTTACACTATTTAAGTTGACTTCTTAAAATATAATATTTCAAATGATGGACTTATGATGGATTCTAAGAAAATTCAAACTATTATAGATTGAAAGATTTCAAAAATAATAAGAAATGTCTAATATTTTTTGTAATTTATCAACTATTATAAAATCTTCATTAAAGATTTCTTTCAAATTGTAGCTACACTTATGTGTTTGATTTATAAAGACAAATTTTAATAAAATCAAGAAATAGAAGTAACATTTGAAGCTTTTAAGATGGCCTTTATTTTTACACCAATCTTGTATTGAGTTGACTTTTTTAAGCCATTCTTTATGAAAACAG